GGGGGCAGGGGGAAGGGTCTTAAAAATATAGAAAAGATGTTGTAAACAAGGAAAGAGCTAGTTGAAGCTGACAGGACAAAAAAGAATGTATTCAAGCTGCAGCAAGTTTATTTCAGATTCAATGACAGGAAAATTATTCTAAATTAAACACAAAAAATGGGAGAATGGACAAACAAAAATCTTCAATAAAGAATTCTGAAACTTGACTATTAAATTCCAACATTATTAATCACTACCTCTAAGCCTGCCAACAGTGTAAAAGCAGGTGCCCTCATGACCACTCAAAATCTCATCTATTTTAGGACTGGGCTAGCATAGTATTAGCACTATATAATACCCATCTTTTCTTCTGGAAATGAACTTCATAAAAACAAAAGCAGAACTGCAAATACTGTGCATACTGCTTATTATTTCCAGTCAGAAAATACCACAGTCTGTACAGAAGGAACTCCAAAGTGATGCAACTGTCCTGCTCATCTAGAGGGAAAACTACTGCAAAGTCATCATCTTTCTCAAGGACATAAAAAGTGTTGGAGAAACCCTTGACCTTTTTGTAAACAAGCAATGCCTCTGGATGTAATTTATATTCATTAGTTACATATTTTGTACCCCCCAAAAAAGGCAGACCCTGTATTTTAAATAGGCCCGAAATGTCTGCTGTTCATCAGATTATTGGTTTGGGGAATTTCAGGTGTTGGGGAGAATAGCTCTTCTGTCTTGTCCAGCACAGGTCTGCCCTGACTTTCTGCATTACTATGTTCCCTGCCTTTTGCTACTGATCAGAACTCACAGGGTCTCATAATCAGCATTTCTTTCAACATGCATGTTAGTTTCTTCTAGGCAGATGTAATATTCCTCAGAAACAGTCAACTGTGCCTACCTGTAATACTTAGCTATAGTGTCACCCATGTCTGTGAAATAGGGGGAGAGGATGGGACTAGTATATTTCATAAATCACAAGTACTATAAAATATTTCATAAAGTCAAATAATTTCCTGTTTATAATTAGGAATTGTGAATTCAAGTAACATGTACTGAGCACTTAAGCTTACCTAGGTTTGCTACTCTGAAATGCAAACCCAGAGAAAAGTCAGCCAGAACTTTTTCATAAACTTGTGCATTGTGCTTTGTGGCTTTTTTTTAAGAAAGCGGGAGATATTATTTGGGCATGAAAGCAAAGTACCATAGACACCCCACTGCGGTAACTCCAGTCTACAGCAGGTTTTTTTTTTTCTTATAGTTTTTGGAAATATTGCTAAAAGTTTCTTGCTAAGCTTGACTGCATAGCAGAAACCACAGGGACTACCCCAACGTAACTTATACAGAACATTATGCTGCCATCACACACTTGTGTATACTATAACTGTGTGTCAGTCATTAACTCCAGAAACTTTAAACTCAAAAAAGGGAATGGAGAAAGTAGCAACCTAACACACTCAAAACCCAAACAGCATTAATGGGAGACTTCCAGCTTGAAAGTGATGCTTCTGTCTGGACATACTTACCTGGCATAATGACACTCTCAGTAAATAAGCAGGACTTAACCTGTGCTTTTTGCATGCCAGTAGCTTTACAAATAGTCAGTTTAAAAGATCTGTGCCATGGGCATTGCATAAATAATTTTATATACATAAGTATATATGTATATATATTATCTATGTGTGTGTGTACAAATGCATGTTAAACAAACGCCCTAAGAAGATTTAAAAAAACCCATGGCATACTTCATAACTTACTTTCTAGGATAAACTGTATTTTTAATTAATCACTTCAGAAATTGAAGCTGTCAGTGACCTTTTAAAATGACTATACATATACAACACACTGTTGGATGAATATTGATTTTTTTCCCCCTCCACTGCAAGCAAAGTTTAGAGAATTAGTTTACATACTGAGAGATAATTATTAAGCTTCAATTTTGTTTCTTAGAAGTTTATAATTGGGCCTTTTGATTGCGAGCTTTTTTTTTAGTTAAGTCCAAGTAACCAAGCAACTATGTGCAGAAATTAACCTTTTTATTACATTATATACTGTAGTAGTAAAGTTTGTTTGAAGTGCATGAATAAAAAGTTAGTGAAATTACAGGATGAACAATCTAATATAGCAATAATAGATGCATTCACTGTGCAGCTGAGAGGAGGAGGGGGGAAAAAATAAGAGTTTTCACTCGTTTTGGCCTAAAACGTGTTCAGGTTTCCAGGATTCTGACATCAGAACCCAGATAACACTGGGTAGAACCATAGGGCTTTACAATAAAAGCTAAAATATTGACCATATGATGGCAAAAAGTCTTTATTTTGTGGTTAACTTATTCTCTTCTAGCTACTCTCTGATGAAGTTGGTGGTGCTGTGGAGGATGATCTCCTTCTTCTTGACAAAGATCGTGATCGTTCAGCACTGTAGGCAACATGCTTGTCATAATTTTGTATCTGAGCCTCGAGGAAATCCCTCTGTTGCTGGCTGATTGTCTGGCTAATCAGTCCAGGGAGAGCTTGAATGCTACCAATTAAGGTTTCCAGTTTATTTTCCAGAGTAACAATTCTCTTCTCAAAATCTTCGCTTCTTTCATTTAAGTCAGAAATCATGTCATACATGATGTTTTGAGTCTGAAAGTAGAATGATGGAAACAAAGGTTTAGAGAGATCTTACATACATTGTAACAAGCAGCACAATTCTACAAGGATTTGTAAATGCTTTTGCACTTCACAAAAGAAAAAGGACATTAATATTATAAACAATATCTAGTCTTGTGAAATAATTTTCCTTGTAGAGTTAGGATAAACTTTCTACTAAATTTGTTGGGCAGAAATGTAATATATTTTGAGTAGCACTTTAGATGCCCAGGTCTAAATTAATTAGACAAAAGACCAGACCTTTTCTGGAAGTTTAGGTGCTTAGAAATGCACCATGCTAAGCTTTGTGAACAGTCAGTTATGTAAACCACCAGAAGACTGAAGGCTCCAAAGCCATGATTCATCCTTGACTCTTCTGTATTTCCTCTGGTTTTAAACACATTAATTCTTCTAAGCAGAACACAAAGGTTGATCATTTGCTTTCTCCTTAAACTGACCAGGTTTTCTTGAACTGGCTATAGTAATAGTTGGGTGGATTGGTTTTGAAAGGTAGTGCAAGGAGTAAAAACTCAATTGTTTGTTTCTCTACTTCTGTGCTCCCCAATCTATGTGTCCTATACAAAACAGTGTTTGGTTACAGCAAGTATATAGGGTATACTTTAAAATGCCATAGTGGTTAGCAAAAACATAATCTGAAATGTGATATTTCATAGAGACTTGGAACTGGTTAAAAATAATGACTGAATTTCTCCTTCTGATAGACTGAGACCTCAGATTAGACTTCAACAAGAGTCAAAACTGGATGTAATTCAATAGAGAAACTGGTTGAAGTTTATAACCATCAAAAGGGAATGAAAATTAATTGAATGACTGACTGCCTGAAGTGTAAAGCACTTCAGTATCAGATGGGTGTTGACAACCCATTTCTTTGCTCCCTGTTTCAAGATGCTAGCATAACCCTTGAAAGCAAAGTAGTCTACATTAAATAGTATCTGAAAAGTCCTTATCAGTTGCCAGAAGCATTAGACTGAAATGTATTTTCAGCAACTGAAGTTGTCAGGTAGTTCTTTAAAGCAAAAGGGGAATGAACACTGAAGAATTTAATTTTTGCTTTGATGCACTTTAAATTGAGGAGGGGTTTGAGGTTCATGAAGATTGACAAGAAACCCTTAGGAAAAGCCCATTAATTCCTCAGCCCTCTAACTCTCTAGTTATTACTTTATATTAATTAAAAATCCCAGCAACAATAGACAAACATTTTGCAACTGAATAGCTTCTTTTACCTCATTTCAAATGGCTTAAAAAGTTAATAAAGCCTTATAATATATCAGCAAAGTAGGAAGCTCTTATTCATTATAAAAGCTTAAACAAATGCAGACCTAAATTTACTTGTCCAAAGTCACTGCTGCATATGGCAACAGGAACAGAAAACCAGAACCTCTAATTTCAGTCTGCATAAGAGCCTGTGTACTGTGGTTCCTCACAGCATAGTCACTATCATTGTTCAGGAAATCTCTTTACTATGCTGCACTACACCACTAGAGCCCACTCACAGTTCAGCATTTATCATGACCACTGCAGTCACTTCAGGAGCTCTCAGGATCAGCCTCTTGTGTGTGAAATCTTTTTCAAATGTAAAAAAAAAACCAAATACAGTGCATTCAAACTTTGACCAGAGCCATATATAAGATGCTTCATTCAGTAGCTGTTACCACAAAACAGACACCTGTTTTCATTTTCTGCAGCTAACAAGCACATTAACAATATTTGCATGTATAATGCATAACATTTCACTTACAAACTCTTCATTTTGAAAAGATAAATTTTAAAAGAACAGTAATTGCTTACTAACCTTTGCCAGGTCCACCAAAGTGTTGGCTTGATCATTCAGTTTCCTTTGTTCCATTTTTACACTTCTTAATCTAAAAAGTAGAATTTTAAGTCAGATTTTTTTTGTGTCTGTGGTCATACTAGGATTTCTAAAAAGCATGCATAAAACTTACAAGAGCAAATAACTGCATGGACAATGCCTTGAGTACTTTGTGTAAAGTCAGAATTGGTCATGTGCCTGCTACAATGAGAAGCATGCTTCTTCAACACCGCAAAAAAGGAAAGAGCAAGGAAATGTGATGTCCTTGGGAATACCATTTGCCATGGTCACAGTTGAATTTAAAGAGGGAGATAACAATTTATCCAGATTATATGAAAGAAAGCCAAAACATTCCTCAAAGCCTCAGTATCGTGACAAGTAGATATAGGAAGAAACATAGAACAACTGTTTTTTGTCATTAATGTTGTAGCAATCAAGAATCTTCCCATGCCTACATGACTAGATACAGGTATTAGCCCTGTTCTGTCGGAAATGGGTTGGATTTGAACCTGATGGAAATACAGTGATAAGTGAGTTTCCCATTACTTTAAACAGAACTTTTCTCTGACCAGCAGCTAAATAACCAACAGGCTTGCCAATACATTTGATTTTCTTACACAATTTGTGAATGTAAATATGATTACATTTTAAACTTACATTAGACATTCCTTTTCAATATGCTATTTAAACTACAGCATTGAAAAACTACGAAAGAAGCAGCATGGGTATATTTTTCTCTTTGATGCTTACATATCTGCATTATTAGTTATGCACATTCTTTGAAAGATATAGATGTAACCTTTCTGGTGTGTTCCCTGAAACAAAGTCCATGTTTTTCAGATTAAATACTAGAGGAGTGATTTGTAGATGCGATTTTCACAAATAAGCAATTTCTCCCTTAAGTACAAGCAATTTGCTCAACATTTCCCAACAGAGAATTACTTGGATTTTCAATGACTTTTCTGGTGGCTGTTCCAAGCAGGAAATAGCATTTTTCAAGAACAACGTATCAATTTAGAAACAATGTGTGGTAAGATACAGTGCAGTCTATTAGTATGTATAGGGCCAACAAAGATAATAATTTGGTTAACTGTGAAATGAAAGTAAGTTCAGCAGCATCATGTGACAGGTGGGTTGCTAAAGCATACTCTGCCTATTTCTCCGTGATGGTGTTACTCAGAAGCTAGTTTAAAGAAAGCCTTCTTGGATATACTCCAAAATCAGGGAGTTTCTGTTCATATCTTTAGTTATTGAGCACTTCCTTTCATATCTAGGATAACTGCCACAAGAAGTAAGTTGTGAAGAGTGAAATATCTTTTAAAACACATGGAAATAACTCTGTTAAGACAAAAAAACCAAAAAACCTCTTCACAGAAAAATTGTCATTCCAGCGGCTTGTTACTGTAATGCCATACACTCTTCTTCCCCTGAAGGCTTCCTTCAAAGGACAACTTAAATGCAGACTGTAGGAATAGTGCTTTCAGAGGCTATGAGCTGGAGCTATTCTGAAGCAAAAAAAAATTCTGAGGAGTCTCCAAGATATGGAGTTATATCATTACAGTCTAAAAACAGAGTAATTACTCAGAGGTAAGCATGTAATGATTTGACTGGAGAATGATAACCTTAGTATTTTGGTGAGTATTTCTCACATAATTTGAAGACTATGTGTTTTCTGCTTTTCTTGACTCATCCATTTGCCAGTTAGAATTTAAAATTCCAAGAAATCCATTGTTGTTGTAGCAATACAAGTACCAGCTGACATCAACATGATAATTCCGCATGATAACCACCAACCCAATACCTATCACAGACTGTAAAAATGTATCTCTAGGTAATGGCAAGTCTTTAGCTGCAGCAGCCAGATTTAAAGAAAACTGTCAGACTTTCATTCTTAAATTCATTAAAAGAAAATATGAAACATCTTGATTTTATGAACTTCACTTATCACAGCAAAAGATCATGATTCTGGATCGCGTTTCCATAGCAGCAATCAGACCACTGAAGTTCACAAATAAAGACTCTATTTTTTGCATGCAGACAGTGGTAAATTCTGCAATTTTAGAAAGGAACAGCTCATACAACTTACTTCCGAGCTCTATTTTCATTTTGTTGAAATAAAAAGACAAAACAAAAGAAAACAAACTGTAAAATATACTAAAACAACCCAATGAGCGCAGTGGGCTCAATTCAGCAGGTGGGAAGTCCTAGGGAATTGCTACTTCTTTCAATCTAACTGCCTGAGGTCTAACTCACTTGCATTCATGATCAAGGAACCTACAATAGCTTCAAACTTTCCCATTAACTATCATCTCTAGATATTCTTAACTCATACAATACATGAAATGCCTTTTAATAGTATCATTTAGAGTGATGATTTCACCTTCATCTTATTTAGCATGCCTGAGAAGCAAAAAAGACCTAGACCAGCTGAAGGCAGTTTTAGAGCTGTGACTGTGAGTTTGAGACTGTTCTCATGATCTCCCCTGGTTTCTTGTATAAAAGTGGCCGTGAAACTTCACTCCTTTTATTTCTGTCTCCAGTGAAATGGTTGGAAAGGTGAAGGAAGGGGGCCAATAAAAACTTAAGAATCCACTAAGATGGAAAAGAGCCATATACTACTGTGACGCACTTGAGAAATTTTCAAAGGTGCAAAGGAAAATTATCCTTTTTTTTTTTTTCTTAAATGCTAAAATTTTGGGAATGGGATGTAAAGTGCTAAAGGACAGAGGGAAATGCATTGTTAACACAGCTGTTCAAAGTTTGTCTGGCAGAGCTAGGAAAAAATTACTGCTGCCACTTTCTTCACCCCACCTGATTAATGAACTTTTAAAGCAGGTGCAGAACAACACTTTTCATCCTATGAAGCTCTTCTGGTCTTGAATGTTAAATAAAGCTGCAGATTGAGCCTGCTGTGCTTTTTAGATTCTTCTCTGAACATGTGTGGGTGCGCACACACACACAGCCACACACACACACAAAATAAACAGCAAAGTTAAAATGTTAAGGAATAACCTTTGCAAGCTAGGATTCAAGTCCAGCAAAGGATGCACAGGAAATGCCATCCTCTATCTAAGAACCCCTGCCACTCCGCTCTGCCTCCCAGTCCTTCAAGCTAAGCAGGATCACCAAAGTGCGAAAATACAGTTTTCATATCCACATAAAAATGCCCCAGCTTTTGTTGTCTTTTTGTTCCTTCAATTATTTCTGAAATAGCAGTAACATTTAATCCTGCAAGTTTGCTATATATAATACAGTAATCAAGGTTTATAGAATACTTCATACCCTAAGCTTAGCTACCCATTGCTTTAAAACATTGCTATGAAACAGAGAAACAATGACTGTTAGCCTAAATTTACTAATAGGAAATATGATAACCTGGCCTTTCCTTCCAGTCTTTCCTGCAAGATGACACATGGGTGTTCTTTTCTGATGGATGCTTCCCTCACATCTCCTCACAGGTTGGCTCAGACACAGACCCACACTCAGAAGTTATCAAAACATCAGTTCAAAATTAAACTTAATTTATCTACATCTCCCCAGTATCTCATGGAAACTAATTTCATAGGCTGTACAAATGGCTGCCTCAGGCTGGATGGGGACATTGAATAGAGCTGACAAATAGTGGCCTGGGTCCTGACCCTTCCTCAAGAAGAATCCGTGGTTCCTGGGAATAGAAGTCTCTTTTTTTTTTTTCTCCTGTGTAACCCAAGGAAGAGTAACTGAATCATTGTGCAGTTCTGCTGGTTCTGATGTGCTTTATGACAAATATGTATTATGAATTTTAGATAAATATTTATAATCTGGCAATACCATAATTCATCTTAATCCTACTGCCAGTCAGAGTTCTCAGGCTTGTTTTCAGCCATTTAAGATTTCAGTAGAAGGGAAGAACACATCTGAATCATACCAGAGGTGCTTAAAAGTCACACAATGACTGTTGGCATATACACCTATTTCTAGAATGGATGTCAGGGGTCATAGCTGACATACAGACATTTGACTTTATGCACTGCAAATATATGATGGGGAGAGGCAACTAATTGCTGGTGGGCCGTGCAATGATGCTTGATGCATATTCTTTTCATTACACACTACATACATACTCATAGGCTATCTTCTATCACACTGTTCTCATTTTAAATTACTAAAACATCTACTACAAATCAAACTTTTAAAATTTTCCTCTGTCTATTGTAGCTTCTATCTTACTATATGTAAGCAAATGTATAACAACAAAGGATAGTCCTAGTGGCAAAAGAAAAAAAAATCTTACATAATTCAAGAAGCATGGAAAACTTCTAAAACAAATATAAACAAGTTTGATTTACCCCACACTGGACATACACAGCCAGGATAATTTTTTTATTTTTTGTAAACAGGTAATAGAATTAAACCTTATTTTTATCTTACTCTTAGGGAAAAAATTAACATCAACCTCCTATGAAGCGGGGGGGAGGGCGGTGCAGAAAGGAGGGAGCAGGAGGGTATATAGGGACTAAAAGTGACTATAAAGGAGAGGGAAACTAAGAGAGAAAACACCTAGAGAGAAAAACTGATGCAAAATAGTACTTACTGATGAATAGCTTGTAAGAATTTGCGTTGATGTTTTCTTACTTTTGCATGGTCTATCTTTTTAACCAGCTTTGTGTTTTTATAAATTAACCATGTTTCCCTGAGTACATTGGCCGCTGCATTTTTCACCTGTTTAATGAAAGAAAAACACCAGGCTGACAAAAGTAGCATTAGTCATGTTTTCTTTTTTCTGGCATAATTTTTTTAAAGCACTTAAGATACTTCCTAAGTGTGGGAAGTGGGTACATCAAAAATCTGGAGAACTGAGGGCAGAAAGCAATAACTGGACAAAGGGGACTGCTGAGCAATTTCAGTATTACTTATAAATGTGATATTGGGATCAGCTCTCTTTGCATCAGGGACTAATTTGTCCCTCTTTATAAAGAGTTAGCAACATTTGGCGTTTATGGCAATATAAATGACAGTGAGGAAATACTAATGCGTTATCTGTATGGTAATTAACTAAATGTATTTAATAGGATTATGAAATTTCTCTCTTTCTTGTTCTGTGGTTAGTAACTCTTAATTCTCTTAGTAATTTAACAGTCTTTTAAATTTCCAGAGCTGTATGAACATACTTTTTTTTCTTTATATTTTTATTCTCATTTCTTTTTTATCATTCTCCAAGGAGATGAAAAAATATCTTGTCAATTAATGTGGCCAGTGTTCTGTTTCATAAGTGCTTTGAATTTTTTTTATAATGAGGCTTTCCATAGAATATTAAAGGTAAGAGTACCTACAGTTGCTTCTTAGGCCTTCCAAAATTTTCAAGAATGTTTGAAAACAACAGACAAAGAATTTAAACACAATGTTGATTAATGACAGAATGACTAGGTTACTCGCAAAGGAAAACTGTCATTATTCATCTTCATTTTCTCTCCCTCCAACTTTGTATCACACCAGTCACTGCAGCTTCAGAGCTAAGTCAATGCCTAGGTAAAGGCATGCCAGG